TGGGCAAGTGGCAGTCTCCAGAGAGATTGTGTCACTGAACATCCTGAAATGTATGAGACACCAGAGACCCAAGAGCAGAGGTCACCCAGCCTGCTGGCCTCTGCAGTGTGGTCCAAAGCCACTGGAGACTAAAGAGCAAAGCAGCAATGCAAAGAGAGGGGGCTGCTGCCAATCGCAGGATTCTCACGTTCACTCAGGGCCGCCGGCCTTGATTCCCATGTCCTGCTGCTGGACCAGGGCCCACGGCACAGGGAATCAGTGGATGTGAAGAATCGCAGGTCTGAAAGGAAGTGCTGGGGAGGGCCGGCACTGCCCCTGACGCCCAGGCTGAATGGTGACCCGTCTGGTGCTGCACGTCTGGGAGCAAGGTCTTGAGGGTCTCGGCAATCCATCCTGCAGATGCTGCACTCTGAGGGGTGAAGGCTGAGGACGCCGCAGGTTGGGAACTTCCTGCGGAGCCCACTGATTTTTCCCCTTCAACAGTGCCCTGAAAGAGAGGGGCTCCCCACCTGGTGAGGGTTAAATGGGCAACAAATCCCAGGGTTGGGGGCTTTACTACAACAGGTTGAGCATCTTTAATCCCTGAATCCAAAATACTCCAAAATCCATAACTTTCTGAGCACAGACATGATGCTACAGGTGGAAAACACCACGCCTGACCTTAGGTGACCGGTCACCATAAAAATGCAGGTGCAGGAAAAAAGTATATGAAATGTCCCAGTAGGCTGTGTGTGTAACACGCATACAAAACATTAATGGACCCTGGATTTAGAAGCAGGTCCTGTGGCAAGGAATCTTATTATGTGTACACAAATATTCAACACCTGAAAAAGTCCAGAGTCCCCAAGCATTTTGGACAGGGATTCTCACCTCTATGGACAGCTCAGTGGCCTTCTCAAGCTGGGGTGGGGGGGGGTGCTTCTGAGCTGCCTGTAGATTCTACACACCCTTGCCCTGTTCCCCTAGGCTGTGGGACACTCTCCCTGCTGCATTGCCACACACAGCAGCTCAGTGTCAAGGCTCACGTCCAGCAGCAGTCGCGCGGCTCACCAACACGTGTTCCTTGCTATCTGGAACGGAGGACCGACCATCTCTGAACCTCGGAAAGGGAACTGTAAATCCCCGAAGATAATTAGGAACTAGCACTGGCTGTGGCTTCCAGCTACTTAATCCTTGGCAGAGATGGAAGCTCCTTAAATGAAACAGCACAGAAGGGACACCAGGGTCAGAGCAGTCACCCAGGGCGGCAGTGCCAGCCTCTCTCAGGACCTTGGGTGCACGGGAGAGTCCCTTGGGGCCAGGTGTCTTCCTTGTCCTGCATGCTCTGTCTCCTGTCTCCACCTCCTCCAGGCATGAGAGTCTGGGGGTGAGCGGATCCCCACTGGCCTGAGCCCCACTCCAACCATTTTGATGTAGTTGGTCTGAGTAGGCCTGTGCATGTGTATCCAGGGCGCCCTGTTACTGACTGGTGTCCACGTGCAACAAAGCCCTGAATGGGCCAGGATGCTGTGCTGGGCAGGCTCCAGCATGGCTTCTCTGTTTTCATCAGAGGCTGTTTGCAAAGATCCTGGTAAGGAGAACCCCTACGAGGGTAACCCCTACCAAAGGAACCCCGTCTGGGGAACAGGCAGCCGGACAGTGGGAGGAGGACGCTGCTTGCACTGGTGGACACTGGGTGGGGTGATGTGGGGAAGGAGGGTTCCCGAATCTCTTGGTTGGGGCTGAGCCCTCAGAGGATCCCACAGGCGAGGTCTTGGGTGTCTGAGCATCCTGAGTCACCCTACTGGGGACACTTTGTGGAGACATTGACCCTGACTGCCACTTGAGCCTTTTGGGAGCTTTTGCTTTTTTGGAGGGAAATGAATGTTACAGAAATCTTTAATAATTACAGGTAGAAAATATTAACATTTCAAAATAAATTCAAACATTTATAGGTCTTTAAAAAATTTCCTATGTATGCCTAAGTACTTTACATACTTTGCTTAGGCTCCATGTTCTTCTGGGAGAAGCTAGCCACTGTGGACAGAAAATGAGGAGCCGCCCTCACCCATGGGTATAGGCCGCTGCTTGATCATGTCCCCTACCACCACCACTGCCACACACACACACACATGCATGTAGGAAGACTCAGGCAGATACACTCATGCACAGATACACAAACAGGCAGGGACATACCCTGCAGGCACACTCACATGCAGACACACTCACATGCACAGACACACTTGTAGACACACTCACATGCACAGACACACTCACATGCAGGCACATTCATGCACAGACACACATATGCAGACACATTCAATGCGCAGACACACATGCAGGCACACTCACATGTGCAGGCACACTCACATGCAGACACATGCAGACACACATGCACAGACACACTCACATGTAGGCACACTCATGCACAGACACATATGCAGACACACATGCGCAGACACACATGTAGGCACACTCACATGCGCAGGCACACTCACATGCAGACACACTCACATGCACAGACACACTCACATGCAGACACACTCACTTGCACAGACACACTCTGCGCACACACAGCCTCTGAGCCTGTCGTTCTCCTTCCTTTTCTTCCTCCCTGATCCTGATCTCTGCACTGGGTTGGACTCCTCAGCTCTGTCCTCTCCACCCATCCCCAGGGCTGGATTCTGCCCAGCCCCTGCTCACTCCTCTTCCAGATCCCTGGAGTGACAGGAGTCCAGGAGTCCAGTCTGTGAGTGATAGGAGTCCAGTCTGTGAGGTCGGGGTGGGGTGAGGAGCTCGGGCTCTGGTGTTCGGCTGAATCCAGTGTGGATCTCGACCCTGCAGCTCACCACTCTGTGAGCCTCATAAAGGTCAGATTTCTCATCAGGAAGTGGGGAGAATTGTTCCCCTTTGTGAAGTCATTGCAAGGCCTGCCTTGCATTTCCGAAGTATCTGCGAAATAGCATTAGCCCCCCAATAATAATCCCACTTCACAGAGCTGCCTAAGGTTTCAGCAAGAGAATGTGCAGACACAGCCGGCCTGGCAGCTCACACCTGTAACCCGAGCTACTTGGGAGGCTGAGGCAGAGGTTCACAAGCTTAAGTCCAGCCTGGGCAGTTTAGCAAGAGGCTGCCTGAAAACAGAATCACCAGGGGGTGTTGCTCAGCCTCTCACCGTGCCCTCCCATAGCCACTGCAGGGAAGTGGACAGTTTCCTCCAGGTCCTGCTTTGCCCGCAGGTTGTACCGCATTCAGCACAGGATGATTCTGATCCTGCTCGCACCCAGCTCCTCCGCATCAGGCTGAGTCAGGCTGGCTTCCGTCCTGGTGGCCATGTAATTGTTGGTTGTCAGCAAGACCTTCTTGACTGCCACCGCCCTGTCCAAAAAGAGTAAATCCTTACTCATAATAAACACGAGCTTACCTTATGCACACACACCACAGCACGCCTTACTGAATTAAATAAACATTTTGCTCTCTTTGTAGACCATGAAATTACTCAAATTTTAATCTACTTGTTATATTAAGAGAAGAGTCTTCTAATTTAATAGGTTCCACAAAAATAAGTAATTCATAAACATGTTTTCAAGTGCTCTGAAGCCTGAAGAACGGGTGAGATGGTGCAGTAGGAAAAGAGGCCAAGTCCCAGCCTGGGCCTGCAGGGTCGGGCCCAGCCCTCTGGGCAGTCTGGGCCTGGACCTGGCCTCTCCTGTGGGTGTAGGCGCTTGCTGCCAAAGTGCTTCAAGATATGTTTCCCCTGTTCTTAGGCAAGATACCAGCTGGACTGCAATATGCACCTGCAAAACGCACACTGTCTAATCTATCCTAACTCGGAGCACAAACTCCCTGTCGCCATGCTGCAGTCAGAGGAAGTGCCATCTTTGCCACCTCCCGGTCTCATCACAGTGCCCTGCGTAGTATTAGTATGCTCACTCTCAAGGGAAATCTCAAGTCCTGGTTGAACTTACGATTCACGGACGTGAAGTTCACCCAATTTCTGTTGCTACAACAGAACACCTGGAGTGGTCTCACCTGTAAAGGAGAGGTGTTGTTTTGTTCACCATTCTGGAGATTCAAGAACTTGCTGCTGGTGCTCTGGGGCCTGTGAGCGCCTCATGGCAGACGTGTACAGAAGCGTCAGGCTTGTGAGGTGGCCTTGAGGAACCCGTGCGAATTCCTTTTGAGGACGGTGCTGCCGTGGTCCAGCCATCATTTCAATCCTGGCCACCTCAGCACCACCGCACTGGGGCTAAACTCCTGGCCCTTGAGCCTTTGAGGGACAAACTGCATTAATTCTACAACATTTAGGTTCAGAGGCAACTTGATGAATTTGTATTCATGGCAAGGTTCAATATTTAGGCTATACCCTGTGACTCAAGATCTCTCTTAGTCTCCTTTCTTATCTTCCCAGGTAACTACTATGCTGTCACCTATCCCCAAGACCCTGAGCTGTGGAATTATATAATGCACAGCTTTGATCTCATTTCCTCTGTTTGATACACTTTTGAGATTGACTCCTCTCACTGATCTATCAGTACAGTAGTTTCTTCTTTTTTAATAGCTGAGTAATATTTCATTGCATGGAGATACCGCATTCGACCACTCACCAATTGATGAACATCTGATCCATTTTAAATTTTTAAATATGCTAAAGAAAATTGGCATGAACATTTACATAACAGCCTTTTCAGATAATGTACACACTCCTTGTTCTTGGGTTGTATCTAGGAGTAACATTGTGAGGTCAATATATGATTAGCTTTGTGGGAAACTGTTGAATAGTTTTACTATGGTACTATGATGTTATACCCCAGCAGCAGTGTACAAAAATCCTGCATAGTCCACATTTGTGCAAATTCAAGTTCAGCTTTTCTAAAGGTCAATCAGTGGTTTGTTTCTTATGTTGCCTTCCTATACATGGGGAAAATGTCTGCTATTTCTGGATAGCCTCCTATTAAATGTTATTTACTTTAAATGTCACAGGATCCTGCAAAACAAGTATTTGTGTTTTCTTTTTACAGATGGACAAAGCTAAATAACTTCCCCCAGCCAAGATGGCATCCACCAGGATTCAGGGGCTGTGTTCTTGGTGTAGGTGGGAGCCACACACCCTGCTCCCGGGCAGGGACCAGGACATGAGGACTTGTGTGATGGCCACCAGTTTAAAGCCTGTGCATTGAGCAAGATTTGGCAGTCTATCTTTCTGCAGTTAGATTGAAAATGAGCCCAATTATCAAGGCTCATTCAAAAACCTGTAAGAAAAGTACCATTGTTTGTATTGCTTATTATTATTTTTAGTCAACTTGACTATACAGTTTGATTTCTAACATCACACTAACATTGGTTTTGCCTCTGTCTTAGTTACTCTTCTCTTATGGCTGAGATAAAATTCCTAGCACTCAAAGTTAAAGGAGGTAAAGTTTTTGTGGCTAACAGTTTATAGAGGTTTCAGTCCATAGCTGGCTGCCTTCAAGGAAGGGTAGCATTGCAATGGCAAAATTATAGGACAGCAAACTTATAGGTGTTTTTTGGCAAAAGTTGAAATCAGTTAGTGGCCTGTGGCTGTGCTCCTGCTGCCCGTCACAAGTTTGCCTGCTAAGTTCAGTGAGCTTTGATCATCTGCATCCACCTACTTCTCCCAGATAACGGGCTAGTTCAGCCTGACTGTATTCAGCAGCAATGTCTGTGTTTCCCACCTAATAATACATGTGGCTTTCCCTACCTGCTTCAAGGAGTCTGGGATAGATTGGCCCAGCCAAGGAAACATTTAACTCTACCTGCTCTACTCAAACCCCCTTCCCTCCTTTCCAGAATCCTCCTGCCTTCTGCTTGACAACATATGACTCAATTCATGTAACCAATCATGTAATAATCTGCTATCAGCCTGGTACTTCCTGTTTGCAAAGTGTATTTAAATTGGTTAAAAATAAAGTTGCCTCCCAGGCTCCTTGGTGTAAACAGCCTTCTGTTCAGTTTGATTTTAGTTTTTTTGCAATGGCATAGCAGAGGAGAAACAGTCCATGGCATGGCAGGCAGTAGGCAGCAAAGCAGCAAATTAGAGAAGCAGCAGAAAACAGCAAGCAACAAGCAACCCTGGCAGCCCTCTCTCTGCCCTTATGGTCTGCCCACGCTACACAGCCAGAGAAGGCCTTCCCAGTCTTCACTCCTAGAGCTTGACCAAGCCAATCAGTTACTAAGTTAGTAACCACACACCCTTGGATCACACACTTAATCCCAGCATCACACACTCTAGATCCATCCACCTCTGAAAAGCCATGTCTGTGAGTGGATGAGACTCAAGGGGGGATGTCCACACACAAGCCATAGCAGCAGCTATGGGTGATAACTTTTAAAAAGTAAGATAATTTTTGCATAAAATACTTTAAGAAATTCACAAGCTGGTGATCGTGCTGCAGGGGTTCTCAGTTCTGTTGTGAGCACCAGGGTGAGCGGTGTGAACAAGCGTGCCGGGAAGACCACACGTTTTCTAAATCAATGTCTCTTCTCAGGTGGGTTAGTAGAGACTTCTGTCCTAAAATGAGGTCTGTGGCAGGTATGGCCTGAGCAGACACAGAAAGATGGTTTGGTTTTGGACAGTATACAATAAAATTCATTTTTAAATTATAGAAGAGTATCTGACTTTTCTTCATGAACTGGTAAGCAGAGTTCTTAGACATACTTGTTTATTTCATCTCCAGCGTGGCCTTCTCAGCAGGGATTTTTATTTTTACGGTGAGGAAGTTGAGGCTCGCAGTTAAACTAAAGTGTTAGTTAACTTTCTATTACTCTGACAAAACACCTGCAATCATTAATTTAAGAGGAAAAGTGGTTTAATTTGGCTCGTGGTTTCAGAGTTTAATTCCATCGTCATTTAGGCCCATTGCTTTGGGCTCATGGTAGCTCAGTATCTCACAGAGAGTGCATGTGTCAGGGGAGGCCTGGTCTCCACGTGATGGTTAGAATGCCACAGGGAAGAAATGCCAAGTCTCCATTTCTGCTTCAAGACCCCCCCCCCGGACCTCACTTCCTCCCCCCAGATGCTGCCTTCTTAAGGTTCCAATACCGCCTAATAGTGCCCTAGGCTGTGGACCAGGCTTCTGACTTGTGGGCCTCAGGCAGCACTGTGAGTCCTAACAACAGAAACTAGCTTTGCCATAGTCACAAGACAGCGGCTGTTCCACCCCATTTGCCTGATTTTAAAGCCACAGCTGAGTCCGTTACACTACACTGTTTCTGACATAGAATTGTTAGTTACACATTTAGCTAAATTAAGATGATTGGCTTTTTAAAAGAAAAAGTGAAAATATAGTTTTTGCAAATAGAAAGGGGCCCAAAAGTTGAAAGGAGCAGGAAAGGAGGAAGAGGGTAGGGGCCCAAAAAGAAAAAAAAAGAATTAAGGTATGTTACGTACATATATCAACACAGTAAATGTAGTATATGTAGTGCAAACATGTACCAATAACAAGAATTGCAAATTAAATCATCAGCATTTCCCCTAAATTATACTTTATATTATTTGGACAGTGTTCATGATTTTTATGAGCCATTTCCATCTACAATAGAAAATGAGTCCATGGACTCAAGATCCTAGAAAATTGCAGTTGTTGAGTCAGAAATTAACTAGGAATTGAACTAGAAACCAAAACTTCAGTGGCCTAGAATCCATCTAATCAAGACTTTCAATGAACAAGACGCCCTTTATGCACTTAATAGCAAATTACAAAAAAGAGATGGAAAGGTTTTTTTCTGAATCTCAGTTCTGGCATGTACTTTGCACACATCCAGCTCAACTCCTACTTCAAAATCTAGACGAATAAGCTTTCTTGTGACACTGGAGTGGTGGCCGAGAAGACTGGAATATTCCCTCACTGGAGCGCGTCCACGGAGCTGACTCTGCCGGGTGAATTGCGGCTGGAGGAGGCAGTAGTTTACTTTAGAAATATTTTCAATCGTACATTTCAGAGTGGACAGGATTTCTTTCTACTCTCAGTGACCTAGAACATTGTTGCCACACATTGCTCTCAGTCAATTTTCCTACACTTGTACACTTCCTGTTTTATTTTTAAGCTGACACTGAAATGTGGGGGGCAGATTGCAAACTGAGCACCTCAGGGAACCCGGGCTTTATGGCTCAGGCTATGAGGCTGCTCAGTGTAGCACTAATTAGCTGATCGGAATAATTTACCTGGCGTTTGCGCTCATTGAGTCTAATCTGGTGAAATGCGTGCTCTCACACTGAGTGCTGGAGTGCCTCTTGTCACAGAAGAGGGTTAGGCTGGCTGACCGGTGAAGGCTTATCCTCCGGGGAGTCCAGCGTCTGAAGTTGTGTTCTCAAGATGTTGGCTTTGTGGTTTTTCTTGTTGCTTTTTGCATAACAACCTAAACTCCTATATTTGCTCCTTGTTAGTCTGTCAAGGGAGGAGGCTGTTACAGTTCAAGTCCTCTCAGGAAAGAGAAGAAAAGGAAATGGGGGCTGGGCAATCTCATACACAGAAAGCGAGCATGAGTTCAGGAGTCCGGGCTGGGGCAGTGCGTCCTGCAAAGCGCCACAGGCGGACAGACTGACCTTGCAGTAATGGAACCGTATGTGTCACTGTACTTGCTATGGAGGATTTACCCTGGAACCCAGGCATCCTGGGACATTTCATCTTATCTTTCAGGCTACCCTGAATAGTTTAATGGGTCCTGAAACAGTGAGTTCCTGAATCTCTTGTGGCAAGTTCAGCAAAGTCATGAAGATTCTTCAAGTGCCCACTATGCTCAGGTTCGGTGGCTCTGTGGAATGCTATTGTGGGACACTCTTCGGATCACATGGACAGCAACTCAGAGGCCTGACCTCCAGGTGACCCAAGCAACTGCACAGTGACACCTGCTGGGACAGTCTTCTAGTTTGAAGAGTTGACACTGTAGAGACTGCATCCCCAAGAGCAAGTCCATGGCAGGTAGCAGCGCACAGAGCCACCACACAGGATCCTATTCAAGGATGTGAGTAAGGCAGTGGCACACAAAGAATGGGGCACAATTACTTTGCAAATACAGATACAAGAAAGTGTTAGGTGGCACGCAGGGAGCTTGACTCTTGCTACCAGTGGCAGGAAGTAAAGCTATTCAACCACGGTGAAATGTGTAGTAGTCTGGTAGAATTAAGTGTGTCTGGACTTTTAAGAAAGTGCATTCACTCTGGCCTGTGAATCCCAGAGCAATTTGAGCAGATTTGTGCACCAAGATGTATGCTATGTAGGAAACGAAAGAGAAAGATGACCTTGGGCCCACCACTGGGGTCGTGGCTAGTTGGCAGGTGTGGGGAGGTGCCTGTTCTGGAATGCTGTGATGTCACAAGGAGCAGTGAACCAAGTGTGCCAATGGCCACATGGAGAGAACAGTGTGGAGAAAATGCAGCAACAAAAGAACCTGTGAAGCACAGCAAGAATTAAAGCACTAAGCCAATTACATAAAACACACAAGTCTTTTGTGGACACATGCGTTTATAAGGCTATATGTGCTGGAGGATCAGACTGTCTTAGTTACTTTCCTCTAGTTGCTGGCACAAAATATTCAACATTGCAGGTTAAAAGAAATAAGGTTTATTTAGTTCACAGTTTGTAGATGTTTCACTCCATAGCTGGCTGGCTCCAAGGCAAGGTGGCTTCATAGAGGAGAAAGAGTTCATGAGAGGAAGAAAGTAGCAAAGCAGTAAGGGAGGGAGACAAGTCTCTTTCTGCCCTTTTATCTTCTCCAAACTGCTGGGATTAGGGTGGTGCCAATCCAGTCAGTAGACTGATCCAGCAATCACCCAACTTAATCTCAGCACCCTTAATCCCAGCAGCACACACTCTAGATCCAGCCACTTCCAAAATGCCCATCTCCCGTATGCCATGAGGCTTGCGGCAGGGGACATCCAGACACAAACCATAACAAGAATGAGAGGGAAAACAAAAGCAGAACCTTGCATGGACCGGTGTTGACAAGACTGTGCAGTGTCATGGCTGAGAGGTGAGGCTTGCTTCTAAATTCCTAAATTTCAAAGATGAGGTTGCTATGGGAAAGACTGGGCACAGAAAACGGTGGCCAAGCTGTAGCACTTTTCACTCAATGTCATTGAGGGGTGACTGGAGATGCTCTGTTTTTGTCCCAGAAGGACTGTGACAACTGTATTTGGGTAGGACTAGGTATGCTAGGGTGTGCTGTACGTAAAAGAAGAACAGTCAAGTCTTGGTGGTTTCAAACAACTCATGCGCTCTTTCCATCATAGGCTGCTGGTCTCTGTCTCACAGCAGTCCTCCAGGACCCAGGCCTGTGGATGTTACTGGTCTCTGTGGCAGAAGAAACTGCACATTGCAATTTAGATGAATGGTACATTGGTTTTCAGGTCTCCTGCACAGAATGATGCCTGTCACTTTCACTTGTATTCAACTGGCCAGGGCAAGCCCCATGGCCAACCCCATTTTGAGGACATCTGGAAAGACTGCAGGCAGACAAAGCTACTGATGACCCCCTGCTACTCTTTAGACCGTCCTCCTCACACACTTTTCCCAGTCCTCCGTGTCATGAACAGGTTGCTTAGTGTAGCTTCGTGCTTCTGCTTTCTCTTCTATTAAATGGGCCTTTTATTAAATACTGCCTTAGTTACTTTTCTAGCTGCTCACAATGCTCAATCCCCAAAGGTAAAAGAGGAAAGGTTTATCCTAGCTCCCAGTTGGCAGAGATGTCAGCCCATAATGGGCTGCCTGCAGAGCAAGGTGTCATGGCAGAGGGGCATCACACGGGAGGAACAGTCCATGGCAGGGTAAGCAGAACGCAGCGAAGCAAAGCGGCAAGCACAAATTCTCACCCTTCCATCTCATCCAGGCTACCAGCACTTTGGGTGGTAGCACCCACTCCCAGGGTGGGCCTTCCCATTATTCACACCCAGATATGTGCAGAACCAGTGTAGGTATCATGTGCCTTTAATCCTTGATATCACACA